TTACTCGAATTTCAATGATTAAATTTGAAAAATTTTTAATGAAACTGTGACTGTGGTTTAAAAGAACTCTAAAAAATAAATATCTTATATTACATACAATTTTCATATTTTATTTTTAAAAGTTATGAATCGAAAATTATATAATGCATAATTGATACAAAATTCAAATTTTATAAAATTATTAAAATAAATATCTTAATAAACTTTAACACCCAAGCAGGGAGAGCCATTCGCTCCATAAATGATTTTTTTAGAATAATTCTGCTAGACAATTTTGATCATTTACATGGATTTTTCTAATTGATTTTAGTACATAGAAATAAATGACATTATATTATATTTATGCATTGATATATTTATCTACTATATTTTAATATAATGTTTAAGGTTCCTGATCTCTCAATGTAACTATCCTTGTTTGATAACGTTAAAAACCACATATCAAGAATTTTTGCGTTATATGTTTAAATAAAGATATTCTAACTAAATGACACTTGTAATCGATTCAGCACACTTGTAAAATTATCCGAACATTTTATTTTTTAATTGAACAAGCAACAGTCACAAAATTAACTTGACATGGAATTTTTCTTTTAAATCTCTCTCTCTTATGATTTTGTCATGTGTCAATGTTAATTTTACAACTATTTATTGATTGAGTAAAAGAAAAATGTTTGAACAATTTTATAAATATGCGAAATTCATCATAAATATCATTTGTTTTATTTGAATATATGACACAAAAATTCCTGGCACACGTTTTCTTGTTGGTAACGTTATCAAATAATGACAGTTGCGAAGAGGAACTAAAAGCTTTAACATCATAAAGATGCTATTACTGGAACATTTTTTGGGGTTAGCTATTTATCCTACTTGAAAACTCAACATGGAAGTCGAAAAATTAAATAAAATTGTACTAACACGAAATTATTTTCAATACTTAATATCAGATTAGTCATAAAATCAGCTCTAAACGTCAAAATAATATAATTACACATTTAGCTCTAAACATCAAAATAATATAATTGTACATATAGAACAAAAAAAAGAATCTATTATAAAAAAAAACTAATATGTAATTTATTGATTTTACCAGGCATAAGTAAATTTCCTGTGAATTCCAGATTTTCAAAATTTTTCTAGGCAGTAAATATCCTGATCAAGCATAATATTTATATTCTTATCGCTGCATAGATCGTACTTGTTCTGTAACTTCCTCCAATATTGCAGAACTTTTGTCAATTGAATCCATTTGGTATTCCAGATGATTAACTATAAGAGAAAGCTTCTTCAGATTGGATTCCATCATTTCCAACCCATACTCCTGTTGTGCAAAGTTTCTTGCTGCATGTATTAAAATCTGTGAAAAAATTTGAACAATATACAATTAAAAATAAAATATAAAATAGTTAATTTTATAATCCAAAATTAAGAAATTTAAAAGCAAAAATTGAATAAAATGAGCAATTAAAAAAATTAATATTACTTCACTGCTTTTTGAACCTCTTTGTATCTGTCTAGTAAGAGAGGCAATATTATTGACATTAACTTGCACTCTATCTGCTAATCGCATTTTTGATTCAATAAATAAACTACGTGCACTTGTACTTGATGCTGAAGCCATATTATACTGTTTTTCATTAATTGTAGGATAGGTTTTGCTTTTAATGTTATCCAGACCTACAGACAAACTGGTTTATTGTTATAGTAGAGAAAGTTATTTCATCATCTGAAAACATACAATGTTATACATGATCTTGAAGATTTATAACTAAAAATATTTATAATCTATAAATGAACATTGAGGAAACAAAAATTATTTTAGGACTATCCACCACAGGTATGTACATACATATCTACATACGTACCTACAATCGTCGTTTCATGATTAAATTTACACGACAGCCTAAAATCAGTTTAGCAAATTCCGATGTTATATTATCACTATAAACGTATAAAGTGCTTGTTATACTACCACATAAACGTATAAAGTGCTTGTTATACTACCACTATTAAACGTATAGTGCTTTATATCGATGTTACAATACCAGTTGTTGTAACTCTATCGCCGCCGAGGAAAAGAAATAGATTCACAAATCTGGTTTTAAGGAACCGTGTGAACGGTAAAAATGTTTTGATGGTTACGTTGCAGTACAAGTTAAAATCATATAGTTACAACCTAAAAATACATAGAGATATAAGAATAGAGGGAACAAGCCTGTAAGTGGAAGTCATAGAGGCAAAGAAAGAGATGGATGCCGAGTGTCCTATCTGTCTCTTTCTAGTCACGCGCTGGGATTGGCTGCCGCGCCAATGACGATATAGCTATACATTTTTCTCCATCCAATTCAAAGAAACTGTCATTGCTAAAATGATCACTGCAAATATATGCTGTTTTCACTTCAAAATACAAAGGTAGTTGAAGTATATTCAACCATTTACGCCTTATATCTACATCCTTCGGTAGCCTACAACATTTACATATTTTTTTAAATGTAAGAAAAAATAACATATAATTATTTGAGGTTACGTATTTGTACTTTCTTACGAGTGAAAACTGCGGTTACATCCAAGATAAGACTCCGCCTTGCACTTCAAACAATGCCTCATTTTTAAACAAATCGCATCCAATTATTATTTTGTTAACGTTCGAATATTTAACGAATTTTAATTCTACACACATGTGCACGCATATTTACAAAACGAAATTTTAGTCTGCTTTCTCCCCTCCTGACGTCGCGTGATCGTCTTGACGGCTCATTGTAACAACCAATCACAGCGCTCAACTAGAAAGAGACAGATAGGACACTCGACATCCATCTCTCTCTTTGCCTTTATCACTTCCACTTACAGGCTTGTTCCCTATATTCTTATATCTCTATGAGATCAACACTAGTGTCGGTCAACAATGGGTATTTTAAGGCTTAAGCCTTAAGAAATTGCCAATCACAGTCAAATATGAAAAGAATAATTAACTGTGCTTGGTCAATTTCTTACAACTTAAGGCTTAAAATGCCTATTGTAGACCGACACTTACGAGTATTAAGTGGAACTGTACCTTAAGTAACGTCACTTACAAGTATTAAGTGGAACTGTACCTTAAGTAACGTCACTTACGAGTATTAAGTGGAACTATACCTTATAGCGATTAACGGAATGCTACTCGAGTCAGATCGAGTCAGCAAATCGAAAACGCTATTAGTGTTGCTAGCAAATATGCCTTTTCTTGCACATGTGTCTAATATGATCATAATGAAGTTCACAATCGTAAGAAAAATTGTACTTTCAAATTTTCTGCTTAGAGATTTATAAAAATAAAGAGGTTTAGAAGTCTTGGTCTAAAATAGTGCTTGACGTTACTTTCACTTTCGAGGCGATTTTCGAGAGCTACAATGGCCACGTTTAGCAGAACGTTTAATTTGCAACTGTTGGAAGTTTTCTGAGCTGAGATTGGATTATTCTTTTTGATCTGTAGAAATAATCCAATCTCAGTGCAGAAAACTTTCAACAGAATAAACGTTCTGCTAAACGTGGCTAGTTATTTGCCGCTCCAGCACATCCGATAGGCCAAGCAACCGACTACTCAAATAGAGGAGACAAGTTAATTGGAGGCGTCCGCTTGGTAGAAAGAGAAAGAAGACCGGGCGGGTCTTGCATCTCTCTCTTCCCTCTTCTCTGATTGGCTGTATCAATTTCCCACATTTAAGACTTTTTGTGTAATAGAAGCATATAAGCAGCAAACAGAAGTAAAAGAGCAGATAACTAAATATATCGTTGACATAACCAATAAAGTTTGTTTGTACATTTGTTTATTTCAACCAGCACTAGCAAAAAGCTCGTTGAGCAACTGAAAATCTAATACATGTAGAAAATGTAGATCAATTAATAATATTTACGAAAAATTTATGTGCTATGGGAAAGAAAAATTTTTTCTGTAACAAAAGAAGTCTTTGCGCTTCAATCGATTGTCCCAAAGATCTTCATTAGCTGGCCGGAATCACACTACTTAACAAATTGTTAATTCAAACCTTTATAACTTAAAAAGCACTTAACGAAAAAATAGTTTATAATAGTGTTTTGGAAAGCTCTCGAGATAAACTATAAGGATATGCAATAAAATGTAGGGAGTTCTATTAAAAAAAATAAAGCTGTCCTTGAAATGACCTTGAAGGACGTGGTCAAGGTCAAAATCAAGGTCATCATCTTACTCCCCGCTTGAAACCATACAACTTTGCTATTGGACATTTTCTCCAAAATGCATTTTAACTGAAGATACTAGGGGTGTCCAATACTTTTCGATGACCCTGTATATTTCACAATTGTTGGAAGTTTCGTACGTATCTTTTAAAATCGTCTTGAGTAGATTTTGACAAACATATAGGCGATAATTTTTCCCATATAATTTTGCAAACAACTTTGCTCATCGTTGATTTTGACACATAAAAATTTCATACGACAATTTGCAAGCTACAACGTGAGCAAGATAACTACAAAATAAAATATTTGTGTTATAATACAATTTAAAAAACAAATTATATTCACTGTATTACAAAATATACTTATTATAAAATTATACATAATCGATGTTTTGTTGATAGAGATTCGCGAAAACTTCTTTTTGTTAGAGGTTCTTGCACTAATTCTAATAGTCCCTTGAATTGTGTAATATTCGAGTAAATTTAACAAATTACTCGTCCATACTATGTTTGATAAACTGGAAGAGAGTATGAAAATGACCTTTTTGTTTTCGTTGCAATAACATTAGCCGAACCTTATATTTTCTTTTGAAATCTTTTACTTCTTTTCACATAATAACTAGTAATAATAATTGTAACTAAATTAATAACAGCAAATGTTTTTTTTTAACACCCTGAATATTCAAAATTTATATACAATATAACAAATGACGAAATTTCTGTACTTTATAAAAGCACAGAGGTTAGAATCGACTGAAATGAATTTACATTATTGGTTTAGAGTTTGTTAAGTCCATATCATACTTCGGATTGGGAATTGAGATTGAAATTGAATTTGGCCAATCAGAACAAAATTAACTGAATTCAAGTTTAGCGAAATTTAGTGAACTTTGCACTGATTGATCAAATTTCAATTCAATCTCAATCTCCAATACATAGTCTGATACGGGCTTTACATTAAGACTATAAGCTGCCATTGTAGACGATAGGAGACGATTTCGTTCGCTACGGATATGGTTACAGTTCAGATTACTATTAGCCTTGAGTCTTAATTTGGTTAGTGAAACTGGCCTTAAGGACCGTCTACAATAGCGGAAAAAAATGCAATAAGACTTAAATAGTAAACTAATTGACCAACAACAGTCGATTTATTTTTGGAATGTATGAATCCATCAATCAGCTTACTGTTATTGTAGACGGTCCTTTAGAAATTCAACTACTTGTAAGCAGATGGGAGCTGATTAACTATGTTTCTATTGACGACAGACTACACCGATTGGCTGACACTAGAAAAACACCAATTCACAGCTGGCTGTGATTGGTGATGGTCAATTGCAATGTGGTCAATCGGGAAGCTCCTGTCGTAAATACTCATATTTATTACCGCCGGAAGCGAAAGATGGCGTGTTGCTAAGCGGAAATCCCAAGGGATCAAAACAACACTTGAACACTAGGTGACCGTTGTTCGCTCGAGCTAATAAATTCCTCGATCATCATGCAGCCGATTTTCTAATGGGAGATGAATATCTCACAACGAATACTACCTGTAATAGATACTTTTTTACATTCTTCGATGCCCTGTTTGAGTCACCAGTACATCGCGGGTGACGCTGTCGCCATGTTTGTTATAGTTTCGGAAGGATGAAAAGCGTACTCGACGGCGTCTCGAACAGATTTGAATGAAACGCGTGTGTGAGCCGTGCCGCGTGCGTCCGTTCGTGCCGGCGTGCGAGCGTTTCGGCCGCTGACTCGCGAGCATGGTAAGCAGTCGCGAGTGCCGTTAACGCCCGGCGTCCGGCCAGCCCGCCGCGGCCGGCGGCCGATTTTCGCGCGGATTTTCAGGTGTCACGGTCGAAGTGCCGTCGTCGACGTCGTCGTCTCCGCCTACGTGTGGCACAACACACTTAAGGATCTGCGAGTATCTTTCTCTCTGTCTCGGTCAGAAGGTAAAGGAGATTCTCAACACGCAGATAATACACGCTGCAACGACGTCTGTCCAGGGAGAAATCTCCCTGTCCCGGCGAAATCACAGAGACGCAATACATGGACAATACGTCGCATGTAAATCGATATACGACTGTAGTATAACGGTGTGTAGGTGTCGCACTGCATATCTGCCATGTTATGTGTGCACAGTAGACACACTGTAGGATGATGTACACGCACACATATGTTTCATGCGCATACAATGACTCCTGTGGAACGCCCCTTTTTACGAAACGATCGAACTTCTTTCCCGCGCAATCTTGCCCGGCGCGAGACGTAATAGCGCGCGCGAGATTTCGCGGTTGCCAATGTTTCTAAAAAAAAATGAAGCCATTGAACTCGTCAGATTTTCAGGAAATAAAACTAGTTTTGAAATTTCAATTAATTTTTTTTTACTTTTCACTTTGCGCGCATTTTTGTTGAGGACGTTCGTCACCTCGACACTGTTTCGTCGCAATCCTGACTAATATAATGATTTTTATATACAGGGTGGTCTACTTAAATCGAACATCTTTAATATTTCATTTGATCTTCATGATACGAAAAAATGTCTAAATGAAAATTTGCACTGTTCGAGAAGGAAATTGTGATGACTAAATTTGGTTAAAGTCATTTTTTCACAGATTTGAAGTTCAAAATAATTTTTTTTTTATAGAACAACATATTTTTGTTTGTGTAATTTTGTAACATCGAGAGGAGTTAAGCGACTTATGACTACATGACTTTTTTAAGTAACCTTGAACATGAAAAATTATGTATGTTTGAAGAAAACAAAAAATAGTCAAATATTTATATTCTTCAACACAAAAATTCCTGAAAATCTTATTTAAATCACCTAAAATTTTGCAAGCAAAACCATGTAATTCTATTTTACAAAATTATCTTGATTTCCAATCTCTGAGAAAGTAAAGAAGCTGTTTTGTCATCATGTAATTGCCTTCTCCAACGGTGCAACTTTCTTCTTAAACATCTTTTCATATCATCATAAACAAGTAAAATATTTAAAATGTTTGATATAAATAGATTATCCTATATATGTGTATATACGTTACACTTGCGTGTTGTATTTTGTATTGTTCGAAATAGGAAAAAATGCGATTTTGTTTACTAATTTACATAATGTTTATGGCTGGAGGAAGTTAACAAATATTGTTGATTTTGCTCATTTTTTAAATCTTTCTAATATTTGCCTTTTCTAGTAACAGTATTTGCAAGGACATATTTATTATTATTCTAGGGCTTTTAATATTGTTGAGATGTGGCTAAGAAGCGAACGAATAAGTAGAAGACTGCGCGGCCGTTTAAGTTTAAGCGGTGTGACAGCCTCGAAGGGAACCAGTCATCGAACGCAACTTGGTACTGTGCGGAAACTACCAAGTATTAATAGTAGCAGTCGAGTTATAACGTCAAGTAAATGTGGCAGACTGAGTCAATGGCGGCGTAGATCGTCCAATTTTCTAAAAGAAGTAAGTCGAGACTTATTTACAAAAGTAATACTTGATTGTTGCGTTATTTATTAAAGTTACATGCCGAAGAGCAATTTGTTACTTATAAGCTATGTGTTGTTATTGCGTGCTTACTGTAAATGATCTTTGCAGGTCATTTGTACCTCATTCTTTATTAAAACAAACTTTACAAAATAACCAGCAACATATACTGGTTATCCAATAGCAGAGAGGATATTAAAAACAGATTGTTATCTTCGTAGGCTTGTAAAGAGAATGTTTTACATTTTGCCAAATCCACGCCTATTAGACGAGAGAGAGGACCTCGTAGAAGAAAATGCATAAAACGGTCAATGGTCACGTCGACTCCTTTGCATCGCGTTCCTCCGATAGATGCAGTTATTGTAAGCTCTACTTATAATATAATAAAGAATCGCGAGAATGGTGTAAACAATCGTGTAAATTATGTGCAAACAGCACGGTGACGTTAATTCGACACGGGCATTTTCCAGTCTACGAAAACTACGACGCCATCTAAAGTCTCGGAGGAGTCCAAGGAGAACTGGAACGGGAGCGAACCCGCTGCTGCTGCTGCCGTTACCACTTCCGCTACCGCCGCTACTGCTGTTGCTACTACTGTCGTCGCCGCTGCTTTGCCTCTATGTCCGTCAGCAACGAATACGGATTCGCGTTGTTCAATGATACCGCCGACACATGAGCTGAAATCCTCCATGCCAAGCGTATCTCCGTTGACCTATCTAATGCCTCCGGTACCTTTAGGATCGCATTCGGATCTCACGTGTTTACTGGATGACGAGGGAAATAGAAGCAACGGTACACCATTCTTTCTGATTCGTACATATTTCTCTGATTTTAGAACGATATCGAGTTACACTTTTTGATGTTTCTTCTTACAGATACATTACCGTCGTCGATCTATTATTCCACGTTGTACACGCACGCCGATACGTCTGTAGAATATTTCAGTTTGATGCACTCGTCGACATCGACATACAACGGCCGTAACGCATACTCATCGCCTGACAATAACAAGTATTTGCCGAACGGGAAGTACTTCCTTGTCAATAACAATGAAAACCGCGGTGATCTCGCAAAAGATCAATATGCTATTGAAACAGACCCAACAAAATATGAAGCAACTGCTGGATATTCCAGCAGTGCAAAGTACAATATACCAGCAAGTATGTACAATATAAATCCTCATCATCCATCCGATACGAACGGCAATCTTAGTGACAAATATGATTCCGAGGACGTCGAGAGTCGTTATCACGAGGTTGAGTACATGGAGGTGGGTAACGAAGAGATAGTAGAGTCTTGCGATGTAGAGAACATGGTTACTCAAGTTCAAGAGGATTGGGAACCGTTCGATCCTTATGTCTTTATCAAACACTTGCCGCCTCTCACACCGGCGATGAGGGCCAGATGTCCTGCGCTGCCTCTCAAAACGAGGAGCAGTCCGGAATTCAGTTTGGTTCTAGATCTGGTACGTTCGTGCTATATTTCTCCCAAGTATACACGTATTTATCACACACACACACACACACACACACACACACACACACACACACACACACACAATATATTGATTAATAATTACATGTATACGCGTATTATGTTTTTACGCGAAAGATATAAGAGCGAGAAATAGAATAGACATGCGAAATGCTTGAATAACGTGGCGGTGAGGATATTCATGAAAGTTATCTTTTGCAGGATGAAACGTTGGTACATTGTAGCTTGCAAGAACTGTCGGATGCGGCGTTTCGCTTCCCGGTAGTCTTTCAGGACGTCACATATACGGTGTTTGTAAGAACACGACCGTATTTCCGCGAATTTCTAGAACATGTGTCCTCGTTGTACGAGGTGATCCTGTTCACGGCGAGCAAACGAGTGTACGCCAACAAGCTGATGAATCTGCTAGATCCGACGCGAAAGCTAATTAAGTACCGTTTGTTCCGCGAACATTGTGTCTGCGTGAACGGTAACTACATCAAGGATCTATCTATTTTGGGTAGGGATCTGTCAAAGACCGTGATCATCGATAACAGTCCACAAGCGTTTGGATATCAGGTAAATCATGACGTCACTCCGATATGTTTGAGGCAATATACACATAATGGAATGCATTATTAATTTTTAAGTACAGCAAATATGCTTGCATTGTAGTCATCTAGGCCTAAGTATCAGTAAAATTTCAATGTATAATAGGCATGTTTTTTACCATTTTTAGTGTAAGATAAAATATTTTAAAAGTATTGTTAATTTTTCTTTGTTCTCATCCGGCTGATGAACATTAGTGCCACTGAGCACAATTTTATTATTCGATAGAGATATTTATCAAAGATTTCGATCAATCACATTAGTTTTTAGTTATATTTTTCATGATTGTTGATTAATCAAGAAAACGAGAACGCATTCAAAGCATGAGTGATATTTTGACAACGTTTTGTATGCATCAGTAGAAGATTATCTTCTCATGTGCCTTATCGTAAAATACCGTGATATATCGGAGCATCTTCTCAGGCTTTATATCACCACAATTAATGATTATTTTACAATCAAACTGCGTCCAAGAAAGTAACACTACAGGAAGACAAACAATTTATCGCGACTGCAGATTAAAATATCGGCACACACACACACACACACACACACACACACACACACACACACACACACACACACACACACACACACACATATTTATTTATTTATTAGTATACATTAGTCTCCTATATTTATGCTTATTAACATCCTTATGTTAATTCTATTATCTTCTGTCAATTGCTCGTTATACATGAGCCGATAATTGTCTGAAACGTTAAACTGTTTGCACTAACACAGTTTTGTAAAAACGAGGTAATGCATTAGAACATTAACCTGTTGCGGTCTTATGTCGAGCGACACTCGACACCGCGTTTCGTTCTAACGCGTCCTATGACGCGACAGAGTCAACGTTGATAGAGTCTTCATCGTACGTTAAAAGAGATAAGATAAGAGCTGCGGTGTAGCATCATAAATGTTTTCCAAAGTAAACGGTACCAAGCGGATGAGCGATTGGCGAAATTTGTGCGGACCGGCTGGAACGAAATTGCAAATACAGCGCGGACTGCAACGGGTTAATCGGTTTATAAAAACGCGAGTTATTATATGTATTTGCTTTCGATATGAAACACAGCGCTCAGATTCAACGTGGGTTAATACTTTTCAATTAACAATATTTATATTAGAGTTCAGAAAAGGGATCGGATAACATGACAAATCATCCGTCCGGCCGTTCATAATCTGTTACATGCAGGTCAGGGCCGATTTCGTAGGTATCCGTGTCACACGATCGCATTGTACGGCTACTCACATCACACAGATCCTATGTATATCAGTTTCTGGAACAAAATAAACATACGAAAGAGTTGATGATGAACCATCAAGACGTGTTGTAATTGGCTGCGTGAATAATTTGGAAAATAGATTATTCTCATAATGTAGAAAGTTAACATTGTTGCAACATTGCAGCAGTGTTACTGCAAACTTCTGTACTGTATGGATGTTGTTGCATCACGTTCTGTTTTCGGTGTATTTGTGTTATTCTTGTTTATGGATCTTCTTAACACTTGGTTTTGTTTAACTTTTTTTTATATTCCTTAAGGCTTCTGAATACTCACTATGGCTGTTCTTCTTTAATAAAATCAGAAGCGAGAAAAATCATGCTAATTTATGCGACGGTATATGTGGAAATAAAAGAATATACGCATAAAATAACACTCGTGATCGATTCAGCGCATTTATAAAAATATTCGAACGTTTTCTTTCCAACCCGAACAATTAATAAATAGCCGTAAAATTAACGTAATATAAATCATGAAAAACGATAGGTTAGAAACGTAAGTTGCATATTATACTTATTTACGATTATTTATTAATTGTTGTTGAGGTTAAAGGAAAGCGTTCGGACTAGTGTTTTTACAAGTTTTTACAAGTGTGCCGAATCGAGTGTTACTTTGTGCGTATATTCTTTTATTTCCACATGTACCGTCATATAAATTAGCATGATTTTCCTCGTTTTTGACCATCCAAAAAGGATAGCTATAGCGAATATCCAGGAGCTTTAATGTGTTTGACTTCCTCCGGACGCAACAATATAAATTTTGCATAATGCCTATTAGAGAGAATTGAATTTGGAAACACCGCAGAAAATCAGAAGACAAGAGATTTGCTTTTTGCAACATTTGCAACGTTTGCTTCAAATATTCAGGTGATACACAGGATTCGTGTGATGCGATTAGCCGTTCGATGCGAATATCTGTATGATATAGGTATCCATACGATGCGAGTATCCGTATCATACAGATATCCGGAATCAATCTTATCCACATGCAACGAGCTACGGGCGGACACTCGGATATCCAGGATTCCGAGCTATAATTTATATTAATGAAGTTGAGAAAATGACTATATAACTTACATGGTTATAAGTCACTTATGCTTTGAATATGCTTGTCGATTAATCAACATTCATAAGAAACATGTAGCTAGAAACAGATATGACTAATCGAAAATCTATCGAACGGTAAAGCACCGAGTGTATGTATATCACCGTATTAATACGGCGGAAATATTTTGCTGAAATACTCTCTCAATCCCATTTTATTAATATACGCAGTTTTCAGTTTAATTCGGTAAATTTCATGATATCTAATATTTCAAAATTTTTTTATTACTTTTCAGAATTATATTTTAATTTTCGTTATATTTCACCACATTATATTGAATTTCATGATGAAATTATGATTATTTTAAAATATTTATTATTATTTCAGTAATTTTTCAGTAACTTTCACTATTCGTCAAGTTCACGATACAGCAGTATTCAAATATAAGGAAAGTTAAAGTATATTGTTGAAATGTACTGAATTTAACTGAAAATTGCTTACATTGACGGGATGATAATGAAATAGGGTTGATTGAGAAAGAATTTCAGTGAAATTTTCAGTATAATATTTCCATTATAGATGTTGCCACGTACACACGCACGCACGCGTATTTTTTGTATAATATTTAAATACATTTTATATAAATGATTAAATTAAATTTAAGAGTCCTTTATGTGTGAATAGTCACTGCGGCCATATTGGATTCGTCATGGACGAGAAATGACATCTTGAAATTTCTTGCATGCCATTACAAATAAAGAGATATTCGAACAAAATAACATTTAAAATTATTTAAAGACATTTGTGAAAATGTCCGAAAACTATTCTTTCCCCTCCTGACAATCAATAAATAACTATTAACAGGCCTGAAATATAAGGTTTATTCATACAAGAAAACATACGGTTTGATAGCTGTTATAAAGAGCGGGAAATATGCCCCCACGTATAAAATTCCAAACTAAGTTTAGTTTTCGAGCATTTTTACGGATTTAATATGCCACAACTTACAGCTGCAGAATAAAGGATATAATAACGAAATGGCATGCAAGAAAAATTTTGTTGTCAACACGCCACTCTTCACGGATATAGGTGCGGTCTAACAAGTACTACAAATGTTCAAAATGTTTCTCCTTTTTTTTCTTCCTTTATTCTGATCCAAAAGATAAGAAAGGAGAAAGTTTCGAAGTATTTGCAGTTATTAGACCGCATTCCATAAATCCATCATTCCATCAATTTGTCTTTTTGACGTTCTAAATTGTGTCGCCACTGTCAACGCGGAGTTCTCGTCTCCCGAATCAGAAGTTTTAAATGAAAATTTATTTATCTTTCCGCCAACAGTCTTGTAGAAATGAAAGGATGTATTAGAACAATGCTCGGAATTAAATATCTTTTCAGTCCGATTTCGGAGGCGACATATACTGTCTCCCACTATCATTCCAAGCTCGACGGCTGAGCCGCCGATCGCTCTGTCTCAGGAGCGTCCTTCCTATAAGATATATGCTGGATATCTTCCGCCAAACTATTATTAAAATATTTTCCTTGCAAAATAATTGTTATTTCCATAAATGAATAAATATTAAATTTTTTCTCAGTAATGTGTTATATACGTTTTGCAATAATATAATAGTTATTTTAAATCTACTGTCTTTCAAAGTTCTAATAATTGTACTCTAGTTATTTTGTCACCACATATTATTGTAGAACATACATGATACCTTACGGATGGAAAATTTAGTGTTTATTTATAAAAATAATTGTTCTGTAAAGAAATATTTAATTTTTAATTTTTAATAAGAGTTTGGTGACAGTATAATATATCTAATATGTATCTCATATACGGAAAGACGCTCCTAAAACAGTGATTGGCGGTCCGGCCATCGAGCCTAGGGACGTTATTAGGGAAGCAATAACCAAGGGGTCGAAATTCACTCTTATGAAAATTAGAAGCAGTTTTCAGTGCTATGTTTGGACCCCGATATGGGCGAATTAACTGGATATCATGCGGTGAGAATGCAAGTCAACTGAAACATGAATTAGCGCAGTACAAGCAGACGTTATAGTGAACAATATCGAGCAACAGTGAACAGCGGGCAAAGGCGAACGATATTCGAAGCAATAAATATATATTAATATCTTATTATTAATAAGACGTTGCCCGTTTAGTTCGGCCATATCCGGGGCCAAGTATAAATAGTATTAAATATAAGTGATGCCTTTAGACACAATATATCTAGACCGAATGTGTTGAGGAATGGGGGTCGAGGTGTATATAGCATCCTTTTCTACGTGCATCTCGACTCCCATTCTTCAAATAAAAGCAAACGATCTGTCTAAATATATTATGTCTATGGACATAACCTATCTATCTATAGTGATGCCACTTACAAGACAGGAGTTTCGGTCCCTTAGCAATAAGTGTCACCTCCGAAATTGGACCAAAAAGGACATCTAATTCCAAGCATTGTATTAGGACCTTTGCCCAGAAATGTTCGTAATATTACGACGTTAACATTATGTTAAGTATTGGCCTTAAAGTTAAGTTAATGCACAAAGAAAATCTTAACGTAAGCGTGTTTATACGCTAGGAACATCATCTATTTATAAGAATATATCAAATATTTTTTATAGAAAGGAGAGAAA